ACGCGTGTTTTTTTTTTTCGGCGAGGACCATCGAGGAGCATTCTTGATCATTGGGCGAAACAACCACGCACGAAACAGAAAAAAACACAGGGAATGGACGTCCGAGCGATGGCCAGGATACGTCCCCTGACACGCCCCCTGGCGCATCTCCTACTGCGCCCCTGGCGCACCATGTCGCGCGCCCGTGAGCATGAGCCCCGTGTCGTGTCGTTCTTTTTCGGAGCTGAGTCGGATGTTGAGGTCGAGCTGCTTGAACGTGCCGCACGCTTCCACTTCGACCAGCTCTGGGGAAGCTACTATGTTCTCATGCAGCTCGAGCTTAAGCTCCAGATCAGTTCGGTCAGGACTCGGATGCGAAGGAGGACCCGACCCACAACGTTACAGAGCACAGTCGAGGCATCGCACATCGCAATTCAGCACGGCGCAGGTCTTGGCACGGTACATCAAGATCGATACATTCAGCATTGCGATTGTTTGTCGCCCAATCAGGTGTCTGGGAAACGTTGTCATGTCTCTTATTTATAGATTCCTTTCCGGGTTCTTGGGTTGATTATGTTCCCTTTCTTCCTTCTCCCTGCTCCTCACTCCTCCTCCTCCCCCACCTCCCCAGTCATCCTCCTTCCCTCCGCCTCCCCCTGCGAATGGTTCGCAGGGTTCTTGTTAGGTAGTCGGGGCCACCGAAGTCTGGATCTCATGGCCGAGGCCATTCAATTTCGAAGAGGTCATGGCCCCCCTCCTGTTGTCTGAACACTGCTCCTCCCCCCCTCTTCGTCGGGGCACATGCCTTGGGCCATTACGCCCCCCTCCCCCCGGCCTCCCTCCTCGGCGCACAGGAGATGGGGGAAGAGTCGAAGCTCTTCGACTTCAGAGTTTTCCTTTGTTGCTTGATCTCTGGATGCCTCTGGAACTCCAGTGGCTTCTGGGGACCTCCAGCGGCATCCTGGGACCCCTAGGAATTCCAGTTGCCCCACAGCCATCCGACCTTCAGTCGCCGCGGCACAGGACATGACATGCGTGTTTTGTTGTTTCGTGTTTGAGCCTTGAGCAGGATCCCTTCGGGCTTTGAGGCCTTCCACAAGCGTCCGCGGCACAACAAATATCTCCCGGGGATGGTATCGAGGGGCCCTGTGAGTTCACGACCTCTGAAGTTGCGACGAGCAAGTGGCTGTGTACTGTTTGTGTTGGGGTAGGTCGCGCGATGCCATCGCAGAAGCCGGCATCCCGCCATCGCACAGTTCAGACAAGTCATGCAGCGTGTTCGCAGCAGCAGGGTCGCTCGAAGCAGAGCACCAGTGTTGCCCGTCGAGTCCGCACCTTGGCCGAGAGTGTGCGGCTGTCCCAGGCCAGGGGGCCAATTTACATTGCTCATATGTGCACGAAATGTTTGTGTATTGACCGTAGACGTGCCAACGGTGTGTTAGGCAACGGCGAAGTATGACAACCAATTGTAGGAAGGCGTGGTTCGTGGCCAAACCACTTGTAGGAACGCGTTGTTCGCGTTTTCCTACAACTCGCTGTGTCGTAGGTGTTTCGTGATGTCCTACAAGTTGTTTTGCGTGAGCTCCGTGTCACAAACACGAGATTCCCAACCGCACCGTTAACCAAGCACGCCGTCTTCGCGGCCTTGGATTGATGTGTGTGTGTGTGTGTGTCATGTGTGCGTTTCCTGTCATCAGCTTGTCACAGAGGTGTGTCCTTTACACATGCCTATGGGTTTCTCGTTGTGCCCAGTGCTTGTCTTTCATAGGCTTACTCTTAAGTCGGGCCTGTCCCTCTACAGGAGAATATTCAAAAATAGACAAAAAATAGACAGGGGACTATGTTTGGAGTAGTCCGTGACCATTTTGGAGCATTTTGGGGGTATATGTTTTATTTGTCGTCGAAAATCCCCCTGTAGGGGGGACACGCCCGACATAAACTTACTCAGCGCTTGTCTCTCGTGTGTGGAAAAATCCGATGGGCGTGCAGCCGTCCGAGGGAGGCGGTCCCCTCGGCCGGGCCCTGCTGCCCGGTCAGTTTTGGTCCCCTGCCGCCCGTCTCGGGGGTCCCTTGGCCTTGCTCCTCGGCTTCCCTGGTCCTTCCTCGGTTTCCTTGCCGTGACCCGCGCCTCCCGTTCTCGGGCTCCCCTGCCCTTTTTTGCCAATTAAGGCTGCGCGCGTCCCGCCGCGTAGCTTTCAGCGGAAGAGGTTCGCTCTCGCCCTGCAGATCAAAAAAAAGAAGTTGTGTTCCTCTGGCTTGTTCCTCTGGCGTCGTTCCTCTGGCTCCCTGCCCTGCGGCCCGGGTGTTTGGCTCCCTGCCGCCCGTCTCGGGGGGGGGTCCCCCGTCTCGCTCCCTGGTTTCCGTGGTCCCTCCTCGGCTCCCGTTGTCCATATACAGTGCCAATTTTCATACATACACCGCGTGCGGATCACGTATTCAAAAATGCAGGGTTTTCGTATTAAAAAACAGCGATGGGTTCATGCATAAACTTATTCATATATTGATCATGTATTAAAGCATCCTATATGTTTAGAAATCCCACGGATTAAGAATTGCCCTGTACATTACCAGTGGCGGACCGCTTTTTGCAATCCCAGGAGTGGTGTGGTGTATGCTGATGTCCCCGTGTTCCCGTGGAAACAACAAACCATGTATACACCAGGATGCCGTATCCACCATAGTCCGTGTTCTTGTGCGAATGTCAGTGCGGGAACGGACAAAAAGCATTGGTATATAAAGTTCGGTTCTTTACTTCCTCGGTTCCCTTGTCTTGCCCCGTGCCGCCCGTTCTCGGGTTCCCTTGTTCTGTTCCTCTTGCTTCTTAGGCTTGTTTCCTGGGATTCCCCAGCTCCTGCAATGCCATGCGCTGCCGAGCAATGCCAATGTTTGGCCCTTGTAATGCCAAGCGTTGCTGAGCAATGCCCGGCACTGCCAAGCAATGCCAAGCACAGCAAAGCAACGCAATGCCAAGCAGCGCCAAGCATCGCAGAGCAATGGAACGTCACGCACATTGATGCAAAGCAACGAAACTCGATACAAAGCGATGTCACGCAATGATTCCACACAAAGACAAGCAACGCCTTGCGCTGCCTTATGTCGCATTGTTCATAGCTGCTCTGACTTACACTGAAAAAGAGATGACGCAAACTTGGGGTCGCGGCGGGTTTATGTAATCGCTTCGCTCATCCGCCGGCCCATCTAGCGCGCTTTGGAAGCCCTTTGGGGCTTCCTGGGGGCCTCATCAGGCGCAACGCTCGAATTGTCGGTTCTTGTTCCCCCTCTTGGGCCCGTTTTGGTGCCATTTGGGGGCTCTTTTGGGTTGTCTTGGGCGCCTCTTGGGCCGTTTCGGAGCCGTTTCGAAATGTCTTGGGATCTTCCTGGTGTCCTCTTGTGCCGTCTTTGGGCGGTCTTGGGGCCCCTGGGGCCGTCTATGATCGAAAAGGCGATAGCGCGAAAAACATTGAAGAACGCAATCAACATCACTGAATTTCGTTTCTGCGGGCCGTCTTGGGGGACCTCTTGAAGCGCTCTTGGGCCTTCTTTTGGGCCTCCTTGGCTGTCTTGGAGGCATGGTCGGCCATATTGGCGGCTTCGGTGGCCTCCCAGGTCCATCTTGGAAGCCATCTTGGGCATCTGGGACGCATCTTGGGCGCATTGAAATCCCACCATTAGTGCGTGCGTTGTGGGTCAGAATCGTCAGGGGTGGCCGTGGCGAGCGAGAAGGAAGAGAAGGGACGAGGAGGAGGAGGAGGAGGAGGAGGAGGAGGAGGAGGAGGAGGAGGAGGAGGAGGGGGGGGAGGAGGAGGACTCTCGATCGCTTCTTGTAGTTCTGGGGCCAAACTGGACTGTGAACAAGACGCCTGTGTGGGAGGCTGCTTGGGGTCTCTCGGGAGGCCCCTCGGGGGCGTCTTGGCGGTATTTCTAGGACCTCCTGGGGCCTCTTGGGGGCCTCTTGCGAGCCTTTTGGGGGCTTCTCGAGGCGTTCTGGGGGCCTCTCGGGGCCGAGAGTTGAAGTGTCCGCTTGGGTGCCTCGCCAAGGCCCGCTCTTGGAGCTCTCTCGGGGGCCTCTTGGGCTGTCTTGGAGGGCTCTTGGGCTGTACTCGGGCCCTCTGGGACCGATTTGGAGCCCTCTTCGAGACGTCTTGGGTCGTATTGGGGCGATCTCGGGGGCCTCTTGGGCCGTCTTGGAGCGCGGGTAAGACGAAATGGCGAGAACGCTTAAATCCTTGCAACACCCAAGGAAGTTCATTACTTTTTGCCTCTTGAAACCCTCTTGGGAGGTCTCTTGGTAGGCCATCTGAAGGCCACATTGGGCGTCTTGGACTGATCTTTCGACGACTGGGAACCCTCTTGGACAGTCTTGGGGGCCTTTGGGGCCCTCTTGGAGCGCTCTGGAGGGCCTGAAGGGCGGCGCCCAGAAGGAAAGCGATATTTCTGACCCGAACCCGCCGGGGCACTTTTCGTCGGGGGACCCCCAGGGGCCGCCCCGCGCGCGCGAAGTACAAATACTATACAGTCAACCCGCATAGTAAGGATGGGCAGTTATCCCAAGGGCACCTTTGCACCCTTGCCTCCTCGGCCCATCCTTGGCCACTTTCGTTGGTCGCGCCCCACTCGAGAAGCTTCGAAACTGCCGTCAAGGCCCTTGCGTCCTTATCGTGCATCTTTATTATACAGGTCGACTGTGAAGCAGTCACTGGAGATCTTAGCACGCCTCGGGCCCGTTGGGCTAGCGAATTTTGTTTGGCCGCGTCCATTGGTCACCATGACTCAGAAGCGCCCCCTCCACGAATGAATGGCCCACCAGTGACTTGGATCCGCTACCATTGATGTGTTGACGCATTCATGGCCCACTTAGGATATCATAAATGTTTTTTCTCCCCGCGCTGTCGTAATCGAAGAGCTACTTCCCGCGTCGTCTTGCGTCCACCCGTGCACCACTATCAGAGCAAGAGGATGTTGAGGCAGGCACGCGCGCGAGACTTGCGATAACTACATGGTCGTACGGGCAGCTAAGTGCTATGTCCAACTGCCTGCAGCAGCACCGCCACCGCGCCAGGGCAGCACAGGTCGTGGACCGGGGTCGCTGTCTCGTTGCTCTGCTCTCGGAGAGCTCGTCTCGCAACCGCCGGCTAGGCATGGTCAACGAGCTGCTCGACTGCTGCGTGAAGATCACGGACGCGCTGCGCGTGAACCTCGTGACGGCCCTGGGCGGGGGCCAGGGAGTCGTCGCGAGGGAGGGGCGAACAGTGGAAAGGCTAAACTAAAGAACACTTTGGGTTTGGAAGAGATGCTCCTTCGGTCCTATGGTCGGTCCTCTTAGTTTTCCGTGTGCACGCAGGCTTTTTCAGGGGTGTTGAAAAAGAGTTCCGTTCTTAATTCAACCTTCCTTGGCTGCGGTAGTAGCTTGACGGCAGTTCTTTTCCTCGTCCCCTCCCGCGTTTCCTTGTGCTCATGCGGTCGTGCGTTCCGTGCGTGCGTGCGTGCGTGCGTGCGTGTGTGTGTGTGTGTGTGTGTGTGTGTGTGTGTGTGTGTGTATACGTGTGTGTGTGGTGTGTGTATATGTGTTTTTGCGTGCGTGCGCGCGCGCGTGCGCGCGTGCGTGCGTGTGTGTGTGTGTGTGTGTGTGTGTGTGCGTGTGTGGCTTCCACACTTGACAGAGTTGGTATTGGGTCTTTGCCGAAGGGTGTTTGTTTCGTTTCCTTTGCGGGCCGTCTGCTCCCCGTCCCGCTTTTCCTCGTTCTTGAAGGATTTCCAGCGCCCTGGTCTCAAGGTCAGGGCGGGGGCACCATGGCCTGACCTCCGAGGGAGATCCGTCCGTGGCGGGCGAGAGCGTCCAACGAGGCCCAGAAAAAGCCCTGGGGCAGCTGTCCTGCGACGTGCCTGAGCCTTTGAAATCACGAGGCGACGATAAGCAGGTCCGCTCAATACACCAAGACACATAGAAGCATCTGCAGTACCAGGGGCCCAAGGGAGGTCTGCTGGACCTCCTCAGAGACGCAGACTGTGGCGACAGTTGCGCAGCCAGCAGCCCCACACGGGCCGCGAGGTGTATTCTTGGTGCTCGGACACTTTCCTTTCCGTTGGACCTCCCAGGAGCCCACGAAAGTGGCGACGGTTGCGCAGTCGTCAGACCCCAGCGAGGGCGAGGTCTAGTCTGGATCCGCATGTTACTCCAATCCGCTGGACCTCCCAGGAGCCTGCAAAAATGGCTATGGTTGGCAACCCCACGGGTGGGGGGAGGTCTAGTCTGGGTCCACCCCGTGAAAAGCGCATTCAGCTGGAGCTCCCAGGAGGCCGTGAGAGTTGTAGCAGTTGCGCAATCGACAGCCCCCCGGGGAGGGCGAGGTCCATTCTGAATCCGCATGTAACTCCCATCCGCTGGACAGGAGCCGGCGAGTGCTGCGACAGTGGCGCAGTTGGCAGACCCACGTTGAGGACGATGTCTAGTCTGAGTCCGCGTGTAAATTCTCTCCGCCGGACCACCCGGTAGCCATTTTGGCTCAAGTTCTGGGCCCGAGCAAGCGTTGCCAGCGAGTTCACACCGAGGGTCGGCAGGTCCTCGGCGAGCCTCTTTCTATCCCGCGTCACGTGCTCTCACTGGGTACAGCATTGATCATCGTCGCTGTTATCGGCGATCGCTGTGGTCGTTGTTACCGTTGCCTGGGTCCGTGTGTCAATTCTCTCCGCCGGACCTCCCAGGAGCCCGCGGAAGTGGCGGCAGCTGCGCGGTCGTCAGACCCCCAGGCTGGCCAGGGTCTGGTCAGGGCCCGCGCGCGGGTCCACTTCGCCGGGAGCTCCCGGGAGCCCGCGAGAGCGGCGACGGGTGCACGCGCTGCAGGCCCACGGGGAGGGCGAGGCCCCGTCTGGGCCCACGCGCCTCTCCTTCTCCGCTGCCAGGCCTCGCAAGGGGCCGAGGAAGTGGCGACGCCTGCGCAGTTGACCACCCCCCCGGGAAGGGCGAGGCCGGGTCTGCGCCCGCACGTGGGTCCTCTCCGCGGGGCCTCCAGGAGCTTGCGAAAGTTGGCTGTGGCCGGCAGACCTCAGGGTGGCAGGCTCTATTACCTGCCTCGAACGTATCCCTACCCCTAAGATTGACACGCCAAAAGGCGATGACAATCTGAGGGATTCGCCCTCAAAAAATAAGGGAATCCCTAAGTTGGCATCGTGATGAGGAGGTGCCCAGCATAGGGATAGGGGTAATGTTCCAGGCTGGTAAGTCTAGTCTGGGTCCGCCTGTAGCTCCACTCCGCCTGGACCTCCCGGGAGCCCACGAGAGGTGCGACGACAGTTGCGCAGTTGGCATCCTCCAGGGGAGGGCGAGGTCTGTTCTCGGTGCGCGTGCAACTCCGCTCCACTGGACGTCCCAGGAGCCCGCGAGCGTGGCGACCGTTGCGCAGCTGGCAGCCGCACAAGGAGGGCGGTGTCTAGCCTGTGCCCGCGTGCAGCTTCGCTCCGCGAAAGTGTCGACACCCTCCGACAGTGGTCCACGGTGGCGGCCTAGCCTGGGTCCTGCCAGGAGCCCGCAGAAGGGTCGGCAGCTGCGCTCCGGGGCGAGCGCGGGCAGCCCCAGAGACCTGGAGACGGAGATATGCGCGGAGAGGCAGCGGCAGGGGGGGGGGATCCTCCTGTCGCGCGAGTGGTGTCCGTGTCAGGGCAAGCACCTTGACAGCTGGAGGGGGGTGGTACATCCGTATGTTTCGATGCGTGCGTACAGATTCTCAAAAACTGTGCTTGCGCTGACAGATCCTTCCTTTCTTTCTGCATGTTGCACGAATTATCCGGCTCTGTGCCCCAGTCAGCCTGATTGACACGCCCTCTGGACTCTTCTTTGCGGGCCGCGGATCAAAAAATTACAGATCCTTTCTTGGCTTCTGAGGAGCTGGGCTGCGGGTCGGTCCGGCGGCCACGTTCTCGCCGTCGCCGCCCCGTCGCCGGGCTCGTGGGTCGGCCTGGCTGCTCCGTCCTCGCCGTCTCGCCGCCGCCCGTGGTCTGGGCCCGAGGGCCGATCTGGCGATTAGGTTTTCGCCGTTGCCGCCATGTCGCCGCCTCGCATAAGATCTTTCTTCAAGAGAGTATTCGGATCTCCCCCTCACCTCCCCCGGGGTTAGCCGGCCACCAATTTCGTATTACAATTTGCACATGACCCGATACTGTCCCAGGCAAGCTGGTATCGCCCTCCCCTGATCTTCTGCAGAACATGCAATGCGCGCGCATCCGACGATCACAAATTATCAGTTTCCCATCGCCCCCGACAACCAATGGGACGAAGTGCACACGCGCGCGTCGTCGCGCGCGAGTGCCGAAATCTTTCGAACTTTGGCTTCGTAAGGATGCTGTAGTGATCGTTGATTACTCCTTGTTTTGCCCATCGCCGCCGGCCCTCGCACCCTCCTTTTCCCTCCCCCCTTGGAGTGGATCTTGGCTGTTTTTTGGCGCCCGTTTCGAGCGGGTGAAGTCTCCCCCATAATGGACGCCTTGTTGCAAGCAGACGCCATTAAGCAGAGGTCCCCCTTTCCCTTTTTCCGCCCAGTGTCGAATTGCCGGACAGAAAAACGCTCACATAATCGAGTTTTCCGAAAACGCATCAAAACACATGGTTTCGCATCACGGGTTCCCCCCCGAAACAAAAAACGGCGCCAACGTTTTTTGCTAACTTTAAGAAAATTTTCACCATGTTCATAGCATGCTATCAAGCAGACCTTTCGCGCGCGCATGTCGAAATCGTTCGAACGCTCTTGCGCGCGTGCTGTCGCAATAATCCCTTGCAACAGATGAGGCGAAGTGCACGCGCGCGTCGTCGCGCGCGCATGTCGAATTCGGTTTAACACCTTAGGTTTCGCAGGGGTGTCAAAAATGAAGGCCCCGAAAACATGTCAAAACACATGGCGTTGCAGCATCAGTTTTCGAGACCATCCTGCGATCACGCCTTAGCAAAATCTTCAGAGAGCCATGGTTTTTGTTTCAGCATGGTCATCAAATTCTGCCAAGCGGGCCTCTGACGCCGCATGCCGAGCTTATTTGAACGCCCTTGCTCGCGTGCTGCGGGGGCACGGTCCGTGTCGAATATTACTACGCGGGCGACTCGCGCGCGTCGGCCGCGCGCTCATGCCGACCTCCTCCAAAACCAACATCGCCGACGCAAGGACATCGTCATCGTTATCGGCGGGCGTGATCCACATCGGTGCCGTTATTGGCCTTGCCGTCGTCATCGTTTCCATGCCCATCATCAGTTTTACTCTCCTAATCGTGTCTACCCTTGTCGGCGTCGCCATGATACCGCGCCCACCCAAGCTACCGACTCGCAGGGAAGTGCCCGCTGGGATGTGCCCAGCGGTCAGCGCCGCCGCGGCCGCGCCAGTCGCGTCAAACTAGCTGGCCGCTGTGTGCGCGAGCGTGCGCGGGCTGTCGCGGCCGCAGAGATGCACCAGCCAACGCCAAGCACTCATCGCAATCGCCGCCGCATGGGTTGTGCAAACCAAGTTGCGAGTTGGTGGGCGGGATGCTTGCCACAGCGTGGACTGTGTCAACTCGTTTGTAAAAATCAATTACACCGCGTAGGTTGCGCCGCAAAGGTTCTCCTCTCTTGCACGTGAACAGGGTCGAACTGCCCCCCCGGAGTATCTGTTCCCCACATCGTTTAGCAATGTATCAACGTTTCTACCCCATCGTCCATCTTAACTATTAGCTCGTACCATCCCAGCTAAGCTGGTATCGCCCCCCCGGCGCCATCCTCTGCAAGACAATATGCGCGCACACTCGCTTATCACATATCATCAGTTGCCAAGAGTCCCTTGCAACGGAAACTAGAACGAGGTGCGCATGCGCCCCTCGTCGCGCTCGCATGCCGAAATCCTTCAACAACCTTAGGTGTCGCAATTGTCTCAAAATCGAGCGCCCAAGAAACATATTAAAACACCTGGTTTCGCAACACGGGTTTCAGCGTGTGCCCGCGTCGTGCGAATTGTTGAGATCACCATGGGTCTTCAACCTGATCATAACATGCTACCAAACAAAGGACTTCGCGCGCGCGTGTCGACATTTTTCGAACGCCCTTGCGCGCGTGCTGTCGCGATAATCCGTTGCGGGACATGGGACGACATGCGCGCGCGTCGTCGCGCGCGCATGCCGAGATCCGTCAAACCATTTCGATCTCACAACGAGTTCAAAACCGAATGCCCAAACAGCGTATACAAACACAAAGGCTTCGCAACAACAGCTTTGAAAAAAACCTGCGCTCGCACATTTTTGAATTTTAAACAAAACCATAGGCTCTCCAACATGTTCATGCATTTTGCCACACGGGCTTCTCGCGCCGCATGCAGAAATCATTCGCGCGCCTTTTGCGCGCGTTCTGGGGGTGCACGATCGGGATCAAATAATACCATCCGGGCTTTCGCGCGTCGGCCGCACGCGCATGTCGGACCCCTTTTAAAATTTGACAACGCTGACGCGACGACGCCGTCATTGTCATCGGCGTCATGGGCATCGGCGCCGTCACTTGCCGCGCCGTCGTCTTTGGCAACATCGCCACCAGCATCGCTACTATCATCATCGTGTACACTGTTTTCGAATGTGTTATGATACCGCGCCCGCCCAAGTCGCCGACTCGCACTGAAGTGCCCGCTAGGATGTGCCCAGAGGTCAGCGCCACCGCAGCCGCGTCGGTCGCGCCAGACTAGCTGGCCGCTGCGCGCGCATGTTTGGTTGGCGCGGGTGCAGAGTCGCACCAGCCAGCGCCAAGCATTCGTCGCAATCGCCGCCGCAAGGGTTTTGCAAACCAAGTTACGGGCGGGTGGGTGGGATGTTTGCAACCGAGTGGAGGGTGCCAATTTGTTTGTAAAATCCATTTGCGCCACATAACTAGCATCCAGTAACACATCGGTTTCGCACCAAGAACTGCCGCACTAAACCTGCGCCCGCGCTCTGGCGAACCCTTTAAAACAGCCATCGGTATTTCAGCATGCTGTTAAACTTCTACCTAGCGGGCGTCCTCGCGCCGCATGCAGAAATCTTTCGGACGCCCTTGCGCATGTATGTGTGTGTGGGGGGGCACCACCCCTGTCAAATAACACCATGCGCGCCGCTCGCGCGCGTCGGCCGCGCGCGCATGCCGGACTTCATCCAAACATCCCACCACCGACGCGATGACATCGTCAACATCATCGGCGTGATCAACATAACCGCCGTCATTGGCTTCGCCGCCGTCATCGTCACCATCGTTACCATTATCGTTACTATCATCGTGTCGATTGGTGTCGGCGTCGTCATGATACCGCGATCGTTTGCCCTGGCCACCGCCTCGTACTGCAGGGCCCGCAGGAAAGTGCCCAGTGGTCAGCGCCACCGCGGCCGCGTCGGTGACACCAGACTAGTTGGCCGTTGTGCGCGCGAGCATGCGCGGGTTAGCGCGGCCGCACGGATGCACCAGCCAACAGCACTCACCGCAATCGCTTCCGCATTGGTTTTGCAAAACAGGTTGCGGGTGGATCGGCAGGATGATTGCGCGAGCACTGGGTTTGACAGTTCCGCGTTTCTTTTGCATGTAGAAAACAAAAAACATTGCACCGCGTAGGCTGCATCACATAGATTGCGTCAAATGGTTGACACCACACGCATTGCACCACAAGCGGTGGAACACATTTATTGAGCCGAATATTTTGACCCACTCATATTGCACCCAATGGCGTGATCGACACATTTGGCACCACATGTTGTTAAGCACGCACAATTACGGGCCTGGATCCACGCTGGCTTGTCTATTATACACGTGTGTGTATACATATATATGCATATATATAGAGAGAGAGAGAGAGAGACCGATATGTTATATATCCATAGTTTTATACACATGCACACATGCGTATGAACGTAAACCTTTTCTCCGAGGAGGGCGACACGCAAGTCCAGAGCTTGCGCCATGTGAAACATGATGAACTTTTAGTTTTGGGAGGAGGAGTAGGCAGTGGAGGCAATAGACGATTTGACGGTTGCTAGAATTGTCGCCGACCGTATCCTAATTTCCCGCCGTTCCGATGGCAGGAGCGGGGCAAGCTTAGGATGACGGTACTTCGCTGAATTGTCTCGGGGTTATCTAAAACTTTTTGGGACGGCCGCGGCGCCCGACACATCCCCAAACCGCGCCAGTGCCCAGAGATTCCCGATGCACCATCCGCCGCATGCCTGGCACAAGCACGGGGCTTGATGGATCGATGCCCCAGCTTGCAACACGTCTGCCTCGGCAACCAGACCTGGCGCCAGGCTGCGCGAAGGGAGGGAGGGAGGGAGAGGAGGAGGAGGAGGAGGATTGGATTGGATTGGATTGGATTGGATTGGAATGCCCTCGAAAGGGGGAGTGCACAGCACTAAAGCCGCGCGCCCCCGCGGCCGGCGGGCGCCCGCGCGCGGGCGCGCGGCCGGCCGCGGGGCGCTCACGGCGCGGGTGGCGCACGGCGCCAGCGGGCTCCCCGCAAGCGGGCAGCATGGGAATAGCTGGCCAGCTCCCCCCCCCCACGTTCTGTCGGCCGGAAACGGCCCAGCCGGAAACTCCCGGCAGCCGACAGAACGGGGGGGGGGCCAGTCCAAGCCAAACCCACGCCACCCACCCCAGGGGCCCGGCCCGCACGACACGACGCGACACGACGGGGGGACGAAACGGACGACACGACACGAACGACACGACACGGACGAACGACACGACAGAGACGAGCCGCCGGTCCCGCCCCAAGGCGGCGAGCGCTGGGGGGAACCAGCACCGCCCTGGGGGAGGCCACGGGACCTGGCGACCCCCCCGGGGGAAGGAAGCCGCACTTTGGCGGCGTCCCCCCGGGTGCGGGGGCTTTTCGCCCCTCGGGCCCGGCGCTCCCCGCCTGCGCCAGGGGGACCCTAGGGTCCCGACCCCTCCACTACGGGAGGGGCCCCCTCGGGGCGGAGGAGGAGGAGGAGAAGGAGAAGGAGAAGGAGGAGGAAGAGGAGGAGGAGGAGGAGGAGAGAGTGAGAGGCCGCCCCTCGTAGTAGCAACGCCCCTCCCCCCTTCACAGGCGACGCCTCGCCCCCCAAATCCCCCGCGTGGAGCCTAATCCTCCTGAGAGAGCGGCGCACTGCTGCTCGCCCCGCTCGGCATCGGAGGCGCGAGGTGCCGCCTTCTCTTCTGTGTTCTTTGCGACGTGGCTGATGCCATCATGGTCATGGAGTCTCATGGGGCCCTGAATCCCCGAAGTGCCCCTGAACAACCAAATCGTTCAGGAAAGAGGGGGACGTCGGGGATACACCTGCAGCGGAGCTGCTCGTGCGCATCCCCTCTCGGGGTTGGACGCCCCCCATCGTGTATCCCGGAGTTTGGGCCCCAAATTGGGAGTCCAGTCGAAACCCCCCCCCGACGTCGGAGGTCGGGGTCGCCATAGCCATCGTCCCCCCCCCCCACGGCGCAGAAGAAGGTCAACGACAGCTCCAACACCTTTGGCGATACGCAGCTCACCGTGGACGTGATCGCGGACGACCTCCTCTGGGAGCCGTGGGGCCCGCTCCACCGCGGAGGGCCCGCCCCGTTCCGATTCGATTCGCTGTTTTTCTCGGCCGCTCCGATCCGATTCGACGTCGGACTGTTTTGGCAGCCGGGGCGCCGAAAGAAGGACCGCGCTGGGCTCAGGAGGGGCTCCGGTGGCTGGGCCGTCCCCTGGATTTTTGGGTCGGGGGACCCGCTGGTGGCCCAGGATGGCCGCGGCTGGAAGACCCCTTTTCGTGCTCTATTCGGCGCTCCCTTTCTGGTAGCACGACGACTGCAGCGATCCGATGTGGCTTGATGAGCAGAGGAGGAGGAGGTGCAGAGGAGAAGGAGGAGGAGGAGGAGGAGGAGGAGGAGGAGGAGGGGAGGAGGAGGAGGAGGGGAGGAGGAGGGAGGAGGAGGAGGAGGAGGAGGAGGAGGAGGAGGAGCGCATGACGCAGCTGTACGTCCTGGCGCAGCCGATCCGGTTCGACTGCGACCCCGCGCCGAGGCAGCCCGATCCCAGGCACGTTCCCAGCCGATGTCCCGATTCTGTGCTAACTGGTCTTGCCACCACGAGGGCGTCGGATGATCCCAGGAGCAGTCCAGCACCAGAAGTCTTGCCACCACCACGGCGACGACGGCGACGACGACGACGGCGACGACGGCGATGGTGACGGCGACGGCGACGGCGACGACGGCGACGGCGACGGCGCCGGCGACGACGACGACGGCTTGATCACCAAGCGCTGCTGGGCAGAGATGGTCGGACCTTGCCAGGACGAGGAGCCGTTCCAGAGCGTCCAGAGTGTTCCGGAACCCTCTGAGAAGGCCGCGGTGCCCGAGACATTTTCCAGAGCCGCTGGATCTCAGAGATTCTTCGATTTATCCTCAACCTGTTGTATCCTCGTCATGGCTTCGTCTTAGATGGGGCATCGGGATTCCCCATCCCAGCGTGTGGGAGGAAGAGGAGGGAGGAGGAGGAGGAGGAGGAGGAGGAGGAGGAGGAGGAGGAGGAGGAGGAGGAGAGGACGAGAGCACGGCAGGCGGAGGCGGGAAGGGGCGGAGGGCGGAACGGGTTTGGGGGGGGCGCAGGGGCGAGAAGGAGAGAGGGAGGAACGAGGGAGGGGAGCAGGGAAGAGGGGGGAGAGAAGGAGGAGTAGTAGGCGGCCACATGCGAACCCTACCCCTGCCCCCCACGAGTTCTGAGGGGGAGGGTGGGGTGCACTTCGCTCGGGAGCTCGCGAACGAAAATGAACCCCACCCTGCCCCTCAGAAATCGTGGGGGGTAGAGGTAGGGTGCGCATGTGGCCCCCTAAGTAGGGTGTGGTTATGGGTACGGGTATGGGTGTGGGTATGGGTATAGGTCTGGATGTGGGTGTGGGTGTGGGCGAGGCTGGCAATCCATAGCCGGCGGGGCGGACGGGCCACCTTGTCCCTCGTCGCCCCTGGCGGAGTCGGAGTCGCCCCCGCGGCCCCCCGCAGCCTGGGCTGCCGCCCGCCCAAGCTCCCGGACCTCCTCGAGGTCAGACTCCAGCAGCCCGTGGCATCGTGGCAAGTGCAGCTACGCGGGAGGAGGAGGAGGAGGAGGAGTAATCAGAGCGTGAATTACCTACCCCGCTTCCGCTTCCAGGCAAAACCAAGTCATACCACGCGCCTCCTCGTCAAGCGGCCTGACCAGCGCAGGCCGTAGTTTGGCGTCGCTTGGTATCTCTTGGAAGCGAGGGTGGTCAAAAGCGAGGCAGGTTTGTTTGCGCCCTGAGTAAGAAGAAGGATACGTTTGGCGGAGGGAGGCGGAAAGGTAGTGGAGGTATGAAGCACTCACGGGGACTGAGGAGGAAGCAGGATGAGGGCGGGGAGGGGTGAACGAGGGCGGCGGCAGTTAGGGGCGAGGAAGAGGGAAGGATGATGATGGTGCTGATGATGATGATGATGATGATGATGATGATGATGATGATGATGATGTTCATGATGATGATGATGATGATGATGATGATGATGATGATGATGATGATGATGATGATGATGATGCTGATGCTGATGCTGATGATGATGATGATGATGATGATGATGATGATGATGATGATGATGATGATGACGATGATGATGATGATGACTGATGATGTGACTGGATGATGCTGATGCTGATGTGATGCTGATGTGATGGATGATGATGATGATGATGCTGGTGCTGATGCTGATGCTGGATGATGATGCTGATGATGATGATGGTGATGGTGATGGTGATGCTGATGATGATGCTGATGATGATGATTATGATGTGATGATGATGGATGCTGATGCTGTTGCTGATGCTGATGATGATGATGATGATGATGATGCTGATGATGATGATGATGATGATGATGATGATGATGATGATGATGATGATGATGATGATGTGATGATGATGATGATGCTGATGCTGATGATGATGATGATGATGATGATGATGCGGATGCGGATGAGGAGGAGGAGGAGGAGGAGGAGGAGGAGGACGAAGGTAGAGGACGAGAAGAAAGGCACGAGGAGGAGGACGGAGCAGGGGGAGGGGATTGGAGTTGGGGGAGGGAGGTGGCATCAGAAGACAGGACGCAGGGATGAGCAGGAGGCAACGAAGGAGGAAGGAAGGAGGGTGCGGATGGAATGATGAGGATGAGGGAAGCCGGAAGGAGGGCGCAAAGGAGGAGGGATAGATGGGGGAGGAGGGAAACAGAGAACAGACCAGATAGGGCGAACGGAGGCTAGGACGGATGATGACGATGAGGTGGAGGAGGATGAAGGAGGGTGGGATGGAAGACGCTTCCAATCGGAGCAGATGGATGCGGACGAGGCTACATGGGCGAGTAGGGAGGAGGAGGGGGAGGGGGAGTAGGAGGAAGAGGAGGAGGAGGAGGAGGAGGAGGAGGAGAGATGACGAAGGAGAAGGAATACTCAGGGGGAGAGGTAGGGTTGCAGTGATGGAGCCGGTACCATCATATAATAGAAGCACAAGGAGCAGGAACGAGGATGAGAAGGAGGCGGTACGAGAGGATATGAGGAGGAGGAGGAGGAGGAGGAGGAGGAGGAGGAGGAGGAGGAGGGGAGAGGGCCGAGGAAGGAGTACGAAATGAGCAGGCCATGCCATCGTGCCCTCGAGAGCTGTGCGGGCCACCCTCAGGACCTGGCCAAGACGAGCAAGCTGGTGCACGAGGCGTCCTCGGAGGAGGAGCCCGAGATCGTGAAGACCAACCCCGACGGGCAGGCGAGCTGCCACGCCTCCGCTGTGGTGCGCGGGTGCCTCCGCTGCCGTCATGTGGTGTCGTTTGGGGCCTCCTCCTCCTCCTTTTCCTCCTGCTCCTCCTCCTTTTCCTCCTGCTCCTCCTCCTTTTCCTCCTGCTCCTCCTCCGCCTCCTCCTCCTCCTCCTCCTCCTCCTCCTCCTCCTCCTCCCCCTCCTCCTCCCCCTCCTCGCCCCTCTCCTATCTCCCCCTCCTCGCTCTTCTCTCCTTCTCTCCTCGCCCCTGGAGGACTCGGGGCTTCTCGGGGCCTTCCCGGGGCCCCGTGGGTCCCCTGTGGAGGCTTCTTCGGGCGGTCTCGGGGGCCATCGTGGGGGGGGGGACGGGCTCCTCTTGGGGACCTCCCCCGGGGCCGCTTGGGGTCCTGTCGGGCGGGGCCGCCCTGGGCATTCTTTTACGACCGAAGCGTCGAGCGCGAAAACGGTCCTTCGGGCTTCCGGGGCCGTCCTGGACATTCTTTTACGACCGACGCGTCGAGCGCGAAAACGTGTTCAGTGATCGGCGGCGAGCGAGAGGGGGGAAGAGAGAAGGAGGAAGTCTTCACAGATGGCTCGGAAGCCCCCCGGCCTTCGGAGAAGTTTCCTGAGCCTGCCCCGAAGGCAAGGGAAGCAGCTTCCCGGAAGGCAGAGGGGGGAAGCCGCGCCGCCTTCTGTGAAGGCCCTCTCCCCCTCACTTCCCCCCCCCCTTCGCCCGCCGCCGAACAGGAGAGGTGCCCCTGGGACTGGCCCCCGGGGGCATCCCAAGCCGGCCCGAGCCCCAGGAGGGCTCCTGGCAGCGGCTCCGAGAGCGGGTCGCGGCCGTGGACGGCGGCTCTGCGTCGGCGGTGGCGGCCCCAGACATCCAGCGCTTCCTTCAGTGAGGGTCGAGAGAAGCCTCACCCTACCAACACGATGAGGGCGTGGCCTCACTGAGGCCCCCGTCTTCGCATGGGGGATCGAGTGCATCTGGGCGGCTTGGTGCGGCGCATCTGCAGAAAAGAGCCCTAATTATCTTCGCATGGGGGATCAAGTGCATCTGGGCGGCTTGGCGCGGCGCATCTGCAGAACAGAGCCCTCATTATCCCTGATGCTTCCGGCCCTGCTGACTTGGGTCCCCCCCCAAAGGGTCAGGGGCCACTCGCTGTTTGATCCTCCATGTTTTCCGATGTGCGGGAGCAGATCAACGACCCTAATTATCCCTGATGTTTCTGGCCCTACCAACTTGGGTCCCCTCCCAAAGGCTTACGGGTCACTCGCTGGTTGATCCTCCATGTTTTCCGATGTGCGGATGAAGACGATGGCATGGTTGATGGAAGGGGTCACTCGTTGGTTGACCGTTGTTAGTGGTCACTCGTTGGTCTCGAAAGAGCAGGGGGGGAATAGGGGTCACAAGCACTCGAGGTTAGGGGTCACTCGTTGGTTGATCGACGACGACATCCAGGACGCCTCGTCCTCACGGGGGCACGCTCGGCGCCGCGCGGCTGGCGGCCGGAGCGCACGTGGCCCCCCGGCGTGCTGCTCTGTACACGTCGCTGGTGGCCGGGTCGCGGATGCGGGGGGCCCTTGGGCCTTTCCCCCCTGGCGTTGAGTCGGGCCTGTCTCTCTACAGGAGGGATATCCAGAAGTTGAAAGAAAAAATGGTCAGGGGGACAGTGTGTCTACTATTCTTGATTGTTGTTTGATGTTTTGGAATATTTCTACTTTTCGTTCAAAACTCGCCTGTAGGAGGACATGCCCGACCGAACCCCTAACCCTGGCGGGCTTCTCGTCCTCAGCCGTTCCGAGAAAGACCTCCAGAGGCTGAAGACCGCAAAGAGCGGGCCGCCTCGATTCATTATTGTGGTCCCGCTGGTTGCGTGCGGCTGCGGCGACCAGGTATGAGGAGAAAAAGGTGCCCATACCGCTACCCCTCCCTCGGTTTCCCCTTTTTGGGCCTCCTGGCGTAGGCCCTCGTTGCCACCGCTGGGTTCGCCTCGAATTCCTTGTCAGAACGCAACCCAGGAGAGGGTCGCGGAGTAGCGTTATCGGTACCCTTTTCGTCTCCCCCACCAGTAGCCGCGGCAGCGAATACCCAAGCATCCGTTGATGTGGCTGTCTCAGTATGAGCCCTAGACCTCCCGAGTTTTTGTTGTGGGCGGTTTTGTTTTATCCTGTGTCATTTTTTCCGGGGGCGTGTGTGACACCTAGACTGAAATCGGGCCTGTCTCTACAGGAGGAATATTCAATAATAACAAATTAGCCTGGCGAAGGACCCAATCATACGCAGTTGTGCATACCGCAATAGTAAATACCATCTTCGCTCGCGCTCCCGATGTGGCCACGGCTCCCCGCCGGAGCCCGACATGCTCAGGGGCACGTTCGTGGCCGTTTTCGCGGGCGCCGACGACGACGAGGACGCCGTCCCCCCGACCGAGGAGCAAAAACAGGAATGGGCTTTGAGAGGCATGAGGGAGACTGCCATTGGCGCCTTCGGTGGAGTTCCTACGGGGCCACGATCCTCGTCAGGGGTGTGCCGAAATTGCCCGAAGCCGCCATGCGAACCCTGCCACTGGCGACTTCGGTGGGGCTCCCTATGGGGCCACGATCCTCGTGAGGGGTGTTCCGAAAAGGAGGCCGCCATGCGAACCCTGCCATTGGGGCCTTCCTTCGGCAGAGCTCCTATGGGGCCACGATCGTCGCGAGGGGCGTGTCGAAATGACCCGGGGCCGCCATGCAAACTTTCTGTCTGGGGCTTTCGGCGGAGCTCCCGATGGGGCCACGATCCTCGCGATGGGTGTGCCGAAATGGCCCGAGGCCGCCATGCAAACTTTCCTTTTGGGGCCTTAGGCGGGGCTCCCTATGGGGCCCTCTGGGGCCGTAGGTGGAGCTCCCTCTGGGGCCGCGAAACGTGTGAGGGGTATGCCGAAATTGGGCGAGGCCGCCGTGCAGTTTTTTTCTTTAGCTCCTTTGGTGGAGCTCTTTCTGGGCCAACGAAGCGCGCGGCGTGGCATGCCGACCGAGATGGCCCGAGGCCGCCATGCAACCTTTCGGTGGAGCTCCTTACGGGGCCGCGAAACGTGTGAGGGGCGCGCCGAAATGGGTGCGGCGCGGGGGAGGAGGGAAGAGGGGGAGGAGGAGGAGTGAGTGAGTGAGTGAGTGAGTGAGTGAGCGAGCGAGCGAGCGAGTGAGTGAGTGAGTGAGTGAGTGACACGCGGGGCGCTGTCGTTTGAAAGCGAGGACCCAACGCCAGAGGACGGTTGGGAAAATAGTCAGGGGACGACGTTTCTACTATGTTTTCTTATATTGGAGCATGTGTGTTGACCATGTTTTATTTAAAGGCTGCCGCCTCTGCCGCCGACCCCAAATAAATGCATGTATTGTTTGTGCGTTGCGTCGGTTGGGGGGACACCTCCCTCTCCCAAATCCCTCGTACTGGGCTCCTGGGGGAAGGGGTTGCTGAGGTGGCATCATTTCACACGCCGACGGAGTTCAGGAGGAATCTTGGAGCCGTCTTGAGGTCGCAGAAGCCTGTCGTCATGCGATCTTGGAGTCTTTCGGAGGCTTTCGTTTGCTATCTTGAGCCATGTTGTGCTTCCTTGAGCCATCTTGGACGTCATCCCGGGCTGGGGTTCATCTTGGGCTCGCTGAGGCCCTCTTGGAGCCATGTTGGGTCCTCTTAGGCGCCCCATCCCTCGCGACGCGCGCCGAAGGGCTAAACTCGCCCCCGAAGGGGAAGCGGGCGGTTGCCAAAGGAATCTCTCGAAACCACCTACGCTCAAAGGGGCTTGAGGGACCACCTGTGGGCTTGGTCGGGGCTTCTTTGGGATGCTCCTTGGGGGCTTATTCGGGCCCTGCTCTGGGCCGGTTCGGGGGGCAATCGAGCAGAGAAAAGGCTGGGCTCGAGTAAGCCCTCCCCTTGTCGGAGCCCCCGAATCCCTTGCCTTAAAACTTCTCTCCCTCTCCTTCGCCCGCCCCTTCCTGGAGATCTTCGGAAGTCCATCGAGCAGGTTCGGGGGGCGCCCAGGCACCGTTGAAGCAAAAATCTGAGGGCGCCGGGGCGGCGACGCGAGGTGGTCATCATGAGAATGTAGGGCCTCTGACAGGGATCGGCCTCTCAAAGTACACGCCTTTCCAGAGACCCAGGGCGTTTTCTAGAAGGCTCCCCCGAGCCCCGCGCCCCCTGCCATTGGCATCAGACGTCGTGCGGGAATCGGAGCGTCGTGGGGAAATCACGGCGGGACAGGATGCAGCGACGGCGCAGAATGCGCTGGTCGATGCGCAGGCGACGGGGTCGGCGCAGCCGCTGACGCCGTGAGCGACGGGGCAACGGGCGTAGACGGAGAGGCGTGGGGCGCGGGAGGGCGTGGAGATGGCGCGGCGTGCGCGGGGGAATGCGGGGGAGAAGGCATGGGCGGCGCAGGCCTTCGGCCACATCGTAAAAACGAGAAGGGAAAAGCGTGGATAAGGCGGGAGCACGTTCGTCAAGAAGCGATGTTGGAAGTGAAGACGTGGTGCCCGGCAAGGCGCGCGGCCCCGAGGATGCGACGACGAATTCAGAAGGCACTTTGCCCGTTGCGGATTCGATGCAAGAGGCCTTTTATCAAGTCCGGGTAGACGCGGCGTCGACAGATCTTCACCGAGCCCGAGAGCGTCTCGTGGCCGCCGCCGCTGCGCGTGTGCGACGTCACTCGACAGTGCCCGCAGACCCGCAAGATCCATCGCAACCGTGGGCGAAGGCGTTGGCAGAGGACATGGCCGTCGAATTGCAAAGGGTCCATTGCGCGTTCTCCGCGTGTACTTGGCGCTTGGAAGTTGTCGACGAGTTGCATGAACACGCGGCCGAGGAACATTGGGATATCGCGCTGCCCATCGCCGAGATTGCGAATCCCTTGGGCGAGGGGGAAAGGCTCCGAGTGGAGGCAGCG